TTTCCATCTCTCGCCAATGTTCTTCTTGTTGTTGTTGTTGTTCGGGTTTTTCTTGTCTGTGCTGCTTGTGTTTCTCCTCTTTCTCCTGAAGCAATGTAGCATCGTGGTTTTGCCTGAATTGAAGGCCACCATTAAAAATGTAACAGGTTTTTGTTGATTTTTCTCCAAGCTTGATGATATGAGAAGCAGGGAAAAGTCAAAATATTTATAATGTCATACAATATATGAAGAGTAAAAGAAAGAGAGATCTAAAAGTTGTTGTATCAGTTGAAGTGTCCATGTTGATTTTCTATATTCTTGGATTGAAAGGTCATCTACTAATACTAATATTACAAGCAATCAACTTTATTCTTATATATATGGTGTCAAAAAAAAAAAGGACACTTCACATTCGTAATGAATGAATTTATGCTTCTTCCCTCAAGTAAGTTGGTTGTTACAACATTAAGCTTGTTAGCCTCAACTCAGTTGACCTATAGTTTCATGAGGAGGAATACCTATGGATGCATGAAAAGACTTTGCTGCTTTCAAGCTACCTGTTAGAATATGGGCGCGACTAAAGTTGCGTGGGGAATGACTCCCTCGTCCCAATATAAGTTATTAGATCTTTTAGTTTGATACGGACTATTAGTACAATGTTCGTGTACTACATAGGTGCTTGATGAGAAAACATTAATTGTGCAACTAATAATAAAAAAAGAAATAAAGTTCTTATTGTGAAATAAAAATCATAAATAATTAATAATAAAAATATAAGAATTTGTAATATTATTTTAAATTCTAGAAAATATTTTGCGTGAAATTTTATTTAACTTATTTAAGATATATTTTAATTATATATATACATATTATCTACAACTCAACAAATTTATTTTGAATTAATTTATATTTTTAATACACAACTCAATAATATATATATATATATATATATATATATATATATATATTGAAATTTATTGTGAAATTAATTTATATATATTTCTAGATAATTTATATTATCTACAACTCAACAATATATATATATATATTGAAATTATTTTGAAATTAATTTATATTTTTACAAGTTTGATTAGTTTTTTTATACACAATTTTTCTTCTCTCATTTATTTTATTTCTGAATGTCTTCAACACTATAATATTCAATAATTTAAAATATAATGTGTACATGTGTAATATTCATAAATTTTATGAAATATAATAATGTTTTTATTATTTTTAAAAATAATTAGCATTTTCATTAATTTTTAATATCATTATAATGTTCAATCTGTTTGTAGTCTTTATTTAGGTTTAAAAATAAATTTTTAATATTCATGCATATTCATGCATAGTTTATATATATTATTTTCAATTAAAATAAATATTTTATGATATGTTAATAAAAATCAATTTCTGTTGCTTCATAAGATAGTTTGTAGTTTTTTTTTTATATTTTAAAATTTTTGTTTGATAAATCAATTTAAAATTTATTTATAAGATATATATCACTGTGTTTATTTTATATATGTAATATGGATGTTAAATCGAAAATTGTTAAAATATAATTAATTTGATAAATCACATATAAAAAATAAAATACAAACAAAAAAGTTATAAAATATAAGAAATAAGAAGACATGTTTATAACAATTGGTGTGTAGATGACCACCTGAAGACTTGAAAGGAAAAATTCTCTCTAATGGGAGCGATAAATTCTTTTGAGTGGGAGCGATACATTCTCTTGAGTGGGAGTTTGATTCTCTACTATTAGAGACAGGTGAATTCTCGCCATTGACGAGATTACCATCAGAAACTTGTCAGCTATTGTTTTCTCGCATCATTTCTTTATTGAGGGTCTAGGGTTTTTGGTGTGAGCCTCATGGAGAAGGCATCGTCGGAGAGTATTACGGATGAGTTAGGGGAGAAATTGAAAAAAATAGAGCTTGAGGGGTCTGAGAAGGGGGTTATTGAGCTAAGTGATGATGATATTAAAATCAGTGCGGAGGAATGGGATCGTAGCTTACTGGGCAAAATCATAGGGGATCGTAAAGCCAGTTTACTGGGGATCAAAAGAACGATGAGTGCTATATGGCAGATCAAGCAGCCAGTAGAGGTTCGTGAGCTAAAGGATAACTTCTTCCAATTCACATTTGGAAACCAAGAAGATAAAATCAAGGTGGCAGCGGGTATACACTGGATATACGAGAATCAATGTCTTATTCTCCGAGAATGGGAAGATGGGTTAAATTCCAAACATGACAGCTTCAAAGAATTAAATCTATGGGTGCAAGTAAATAATTTTCCTCTCAATTGGCTGAGCACTGATGTTGGGTTGAAGATAGGTAAGATGTTTAAGAAAGTAAAGAATGTTGCTATAGTCAAAGCTGGGGGAAGCAGAGGTAGTTTCATTAGACTGCTGGTGACTATCAACACCGAGGAGCCTCTGCCGAGGTGTGTGAACATGAAGCTTAAGGATCAACAGACATTGATTAGTTTCCAGTATGAGAAGCTTGTCAACGTTTGTTATTATTGTGGAATCCTCGGGCATTTAGACAAAGCATGCGGTAAGAGATTAGCGGATATTGAGATAGGAAAGTGAGAGAAGGGCAATACGGTGACTGGATGAAGGCCTGTGATGGAGGAAGCTTTTTCAGAAATAGTTATTCCAGTAACTCTTCTTCTAAACAAGTTAACAATGTGTCCCTGGGGCAAGCTAGCAGAAGTGTGCAGGCACAGGCCAAGGAAATGGAATCTCCCCCTGTCCACCAAGGAGAAGAGACAAGTCAAAAAGCTCTGGTAGAAAGAAACTCATTATCCAAAAGTCTTGCCATGGACATCACTGAGAATACAAGTCATGAGGTTCTAGTGACTTATGAGGGGGGAAGCACAATAAATTGTTATCACAAAGGCCAGGTGAATGATATTATCCAGTTGGGGGAGAGCATTAGAGTGGAAGCAGTGAACATAGAAGGGAGGGAAATTGATATGCAAATAGTAGAAGCTGCAGTACCAACTCCAAAGGTGGATAGTGAAGCAGTTCATCACTCTGAGGAGGGGTCATCCAAAAAGAGCAGAGGGTGGAAAAGACTTGGTGCGAAATCAAATTCTCATCCTAAAAGGGCAGGAAATGTGAAAGGGGTCAGTGGACAGGGCAATTTGAAAAGAAGCAGAAGCAATGCACCAAACATATCTGAACATGACTCTTCTATGAGAACATTAAACATTGGGATAAAGAAGTTGAAAAGTTTCAACTCTGAGGTGGAGGTAGCCAGCCTAGAATGGCCCCAACCTAATAAATGAAGCTCATCTGGTGGAACTGTAGAGGTCTGGGTGGTCCATCTACAGTCTCCCAGCTAAAGGACTCTATTAGAGTCCACCACCCACAGGTCATTTTTCTTTCTAAAACAAAAAAAAATCAAAATAAATTGTTAAAACTGTATGTACTAAGCTTGGTTTTGGGGGTAGGTGGAGTTCTGTGGATCCAATAGGGTTCAGTGGGGGTCTTGTTGTGTTGTGGGACAGAACCATTAATATTATTCAGGTCCTTTGTCATTCTTTTTGTATTGAAATGGAAATAGATGAGCAAAGAGGGGCTGGGTCTTTGTGGATTTTTTTTGTATATGCAAGTACAGACAGAGGAGTTAGATTGCAGCAATGGGACTTTTTAAAGCAAGCCAATATCAAATGGGGCTCCAATTGGGTGGTAGGGGGTGATTGGAATTTTATTCTCTGTAACAGTGAGAAGGTGGGAGGCAGGGATAAAGGGGTGGAGGAGTTAGCTGAGTTTCAAGACTTTGTTAACCATATGGGCATGATGGAAGTAGCTATGCAGAGTCATCAGTTCACATGGAGTAACAACAAGAGGGGTGGAGAGTTCATAGAGGAGAAATTAAACCGGGTTTTTGGGTCATTCGGGTGGTGCTCTCAGTATCCAAATGCTTTGATTTCGAATTGTTTGAAAACTTCTTTAGACCATGGACTGTTGGTGATGTCTGACGAGGGATTTGAATCTAAAAGAAGGAAAACCAGGTTCCAGTTTGATTGTAGGTGGCTGAAAAAGGAGGGTGTGCAGGAGGTGATTGCAGATGCCTGGAACACTAATTTTTCTGGAACACCTATGCTTCAGGTTAAAGAGAGGATCAGATAGGCCAGGATTGCATTGCTAAAATGGAGCCAAGTCTTCAAATCTGAGAATGCTGTGAAAATTGAAAAGCTAACAATAGGGCTAGAGGAGTTGAGAGCCCTTGGAGGAGAAAAGAATTGGGAGATTTGGGATAGAATGAAGAGGGAATTGGAAGAGGCTCAGTGTTCTAAAGAAGAGTTTTGGAGGCAAAAATCAAGGAACCATTGGCTCAGAGAAGGGGACAGAAACACCAAATTTTTCCATGCCCTTACTATTCTGAGGAGAAGAACCAATGTGATTTCAAAGCTTATGGTTGATGGGGGCAGAATGTGTGAATCCAAAAAAGAAATTGAAGAGACTGTGTGTAATTTCTATTCTCAGTTATTCCAATCTCAAGGGAGTGCTGAGGAGGAGCAGATTCTCCAGTACATTCCTTGCTCTATATCTGCAGAAGTTAATCAAGAGCTGGTGGCTGAAGTGAATGAGGATGAAATCAAATTTTCCTTATTCAGTCTCAATCCAAAGAAAGCTCCTGGTGAGGACGGTATGTCTCTCCTTTTTTTAGCACTTCTGGCCCATTATAAAATCTGAGCTCTGTTCAGCCATCTTCAGCTTCTTTGAGTCCAAGAGATTATTAAAAAGCTGGA